TTTCCCTACTGAAGTTCCAGAATATTAACAACCAAACCCTTAATCTTAAAATAGAAGGATTTCTTAAAGGTGAGAAATCCGAAGTCTGATAACAAAAGATCTAAAGATACTGTTCATTAAAGCCTGTGGTTAACAGTTTACTCCTCTGCTTACACACAAGTTCCAATCGGTTTTTAAATGTCTTATTTTGAAATGTGAATAGACATCAGGTATACAGACTCACAAATATTTCAAGCAAAAAAACAACTTTGAGGAATCCAATACTATGCAGCTAGAAGAAAACTCAACCCCCCCCACCACACACACAACCCAAACCACAAACTATGATTTATATTAGAGATAAATTTAAAAATTACATCAATAAAACAATAACTATGTACTGTGTTTTTAAAAGAACAAATCAAGAGAACAGAAGAGTTTTTCTAAGGAATAAAATACATAATAACACATACAAAAATAGAAAAGTTAAGAAATACAATTGACTAAATCACTCAGAAAATAAAGCAAAAGACATGGTAAAAAGGGGAGTGAAAGAAATTTTAGAGGATTGGTCTAGGTTGTCTTGTAATATCCAGATAATTCCAAACAGCGTGGAGAGAAAGAAATCATTAATGCAATGAAAAAAATTTTGAGAACTTGAAAATAGAAGTTTCCTTGTTAAAAGGGTGCATTGAATGTCCAGAATCATGGGTGAAAATAAATCTATACCAAGATATATTATGAAATTTCAGAATCAAGGTACAAAGAAAATCTTATAAATTACAAGAGAGAAAGGATAAGGGTCAGAATAGCTTCAGGCCTTTCAGCAGCAACAGTGGAAGTTAGAAGACAAAGGCACAATATCTTTAATATTATAAAAGGAAATGTTTTCTAACTTGGAAACAGTAATCAAACTATATTTATGATGGTAGAATAAGAACAGTTTCAGACATGCAAGATCTGCAAAGTTTTACCTCCCAAACTCCCTTTCTCAGGAAGCTGTCGGCAGAGGTATTCCTCTAAAATGAGCAAGACATGGGAAACGGGAAACATGGGGTCCAATCTGTAGAGTCCAAGCGTGGGAAACAACCGTCCCAGTCTGGAACACCAGCATAGTGCTTTGACAGCGATCTCCCACAAGGTGATGTTTTAAACCTTCTCCCAATAGACAGTTGAGAGAAGGGTTTGATGATGAATTAGCAGTAAATACAAAGATAAATAAAACAGAAAAGGAAACGAAAGGAAAGAGAATCATACTGTCTGTATGGTCCAGCTGTAATAACATGTATGTCATCCAAATAATGTAAGCACTGAAATTGATCTTATCAAAATGATCATAAAGCTGTATTGAGAAAGTATGGTAATGGGAAGGATCATGTACGTGTAGAGAGTGCAGAGGTAAAGGAGAGAGTCACTTCCTATTATTCATATTACTCAGAATTACAGAGATAATCATTAAGAAAGAGTCAAAAAAGTAGAGTAGTGAACCAAGAGGCCAGTTTTATTTATTAAAAAAAGTTTTGTAGATCATGGCTATATGTAACTCTGATTTTAAAATAAAGAACAGAATCTTTCAGGAATACTCAACAAGTACAGGGTAAAACCCAAGGACTATCACAGTTTTATCTTCCTACTTTTTCCAGCCCCTATTTTTGCTCTTCCTAACAGCTGTTAGTACTCATATAATAATAGTATTCTTGTCTTTGTCTGTATCTTACCATTCCTTCAAGACCCAGCCTCGGTGATGACGCCTTTCCTTATACTCTGGTTATTCCCTCTTCCTAAGTATTGATCTTTCACTTATTTACATATAAATCCTGTTTTTGTGGTTAGATTATAAATCTTTGCAGAGTAGAGGCTGGGTCTGTCCCTTTCATATCTGTAGTGTGGTACCTAGCATATTGTCTTGTACATAGTATATATGTTTATTGAGTGATATAATTGTAACAGAGATATGGAAAGTTGAAGTACAAGTTGAGTTTCACTTAACATTTGTGATGGAAATACATTCAGGCAGAATTTTGTTTACTTTTTCTTTTAGTTGTGTAAGAAACAGTTTCAGTACAGTGCGTCCTTGAGAGCACACCTTATTCGACATACCAGGAAAGATGCACCTACTTCATCCTCTTCCAGTTCTGCATCTAATGAGGCATCAGGATCATCATCTGAGAAGGGCAGAACCAAACGCGAATTTATATGTTCAATATGTGGAAGGACATTACCTAAATTATATTCTCTTCGAATACATATGTTAAAGCACACAGGGGTAAAACCACATGCATGCCAGGTAAAGCCATTATATTTATTTTGTTATTTAAAGAAAATTGGAACACCGGTGATAAGACTGTTTGATTCTGGCGTCACATCACTTTTGTAAAATGTCACAGGAAGTCCATAACTTTTTCAGTTTGTTGCCTAGGTCAAGGGTGATTCCCAGTTCTGTTCTTTAATTTGGCTGAAGTTGTAACTTGAAATTAATCTATTTAGGATGTTTGGGAAACTTGCTAGGATTCAGAGCGATACTGGGTGAGAATAACCAATTCATCATCTCAGTCATCCCTTAACGTTCAGTAGGACCAACCTGGCTTGGGAAGGAACCTGTGAGTTAAACACATCTTAGTAGAAATTCTGCCTAAGCTATGTGTCCTTCTCTAGAGCTGAAGACTAAATGCCAAAATGTGATTCCTGGGTAAAGAATCCTATGATAAGCCAGCTTTGGGCTATTTGCAACGGTGAAAAATTTCTAGTAGCACCTATAGCCTTGCATATAAGGATGACCCACTATTTTTATTAATAAACAGTTTTGGAACTAATGGAATTTTTAATGTTTTTCTCTCTCTCTTTCGTTTCTTAAGCTTCGTATTATAAGAAAAAAGAATGTAAGAGATTAGAATAAACCCTCATGTACTCTTCAACCCAGCTTTAGTAGTTATCAACACATGGTCAATTGTGGGATTTTTTTTTAACTGAAATATAGTTGATTTACAGTGTTGTGTTAGTTTCAGGTGTTCGGCAAAGTGATTCAGTTATTTATTTATTCATTCATCCATTCATTCTTGTTTAGATTCTTTTCCATTATAGGTTATTACAAGATATTGAGTGTAGTTCCCTGTGCTATACAGTAGGTCCTTGTTGGTTATCTATGGTCAGTTGTATTTTATATGTACTGTCTCTCACTCCCTTACTTCCCCCTCCCTTCAGTTATTTTGAAGCCAAGTCCTAAGTACCATTTTATTCATATATTTAAAAACTAAGTGTTAATTGGGCCTCTGGTCTTCTGGTGTAGCACTACTCAAAATGTGTGGTCCATAAAAGATAAGTGCAAAGATGGAGAGTAGGCATGTAGAAACTGTCATGGCAATTTGATATTGTGACATTTTCATTGTGTTTAACAAAAATATCTCCCTAATAGATTGGGGAAAGAAAAAAACTGGTTCTTCATCATAGAGAGTTTAAGAAGCATGTTCTAGTTGGTATAGCAGGAGTTGAGTATATTGTTCTTGATTAAGCTCCCATGTCTCTTTTAATATAAGATATATTGTTTACCAGTCTCACAAAGGACAGTATGAGGTTTTTTTGGGTACTGTTTTGAGTTCTTCTAGTGATCTCATGGGTGTAAGAAAAATAGCAATATTGGTTAACTACTGAATCAGAAGATGATCAACCAGCTAAAATCCTCGGTCCTTGTATCAACTTTAACTTTGTCATTTTGTTTATAATTTAAGTTTTTAATTTAAAATAGCATAGTAGATTCTGTGTCCTCATTCTTCAGAAACAGCCCTTATCTCTTTTTCTGTTTTACTGGTTTAAACACCTATGCTCTCTTAGGTCTGTGGAAAGACTTTCATCTACAAGCACGGTCTAAAATTACACCAGAGTCTCCATCAATCACAAAAGCAGTTCCAGTGTGAACTATGCGTTAAGTCATTTGTTACCAAACGGAGTCTTCAGGAACATACGAGTATTCACACAGGTAATGAGAAACTTATATTGACATAGTTACATGTTATATACTATTAATTTACTAGTATATTGATTATGCTGTAAGATGACTGTATGTGTGCAGTTTTTTATTAATGAGAGTAAAGGTTTTTTTGTTTTATTACGTTTTTTTTAGAGTAAAGTTTAAAAGTTGTTCTTATAACCTAGTTTTAGAGCTATCTTATTTGTGTAAAAATTTTGTTTCAGTCAGTGCAGAAAAATGTGTACTGAGTATTAAATCCAGGCACCTAAAGAAATGGTCTTGCTTTTAAAAAGTTAAGCAGTAGACAGATGTAACTGTCAGCATGGTATGTGGCTTATAAGTTTATTAGAAATTTTAGTCCACGTATACTTATTTTCAGGTGTTTAAAGCAGTTATGTGGAAAATGGCTGATGAAGGGTAGATAATCTGCTCTAGAACTTGTATACAACTCTACACTGTTATAATCCAGATGATCACGCAAGCCTATCACATTCTGTGGGTAGTAGTAGTAGCCTCTCTATACTCTGGTTGAGAGAAAATAGGGATTTTGACATAGTTTGTTATTCTTAGAAGGTGGATGCCAAATGTTACAGCTTCTGTGCCCACTTGATAAAATAACTTCTGAAATACAGCGTAAAGCATTCTGTTGGAAGAGCACCTGATTGCTGGATTTGTGACATGGTTTTTATTTTTTATAGGAGAGTCCAAGTACCTTTGCTCAGTTTGTGGAAAGTCTTTTCACAGGGGCTCTGGGCTCAGCAAGCACCTAAAGAAACACCAACCAAAGCCTGAAGTTCGAGGCTATCATTGTACTCAGTAAGTATTTAATATGTGAACCATTCAATTAATTTCCTTGTGTTCTTACTCAGTTTATTTGAAAGTTGTTTCAAAAGAAAATATTTGAGGTGACTGTAGTTGATAACACTGTATAATATGATTGAATTTTGCTAAGAGAGTAGGAACTTGAATATTCGTATGTAATTATACACACACACATATATATATCTGAGGTGATGGGTGTGTTAACAAGTGGGAGGATTCCTTTCATAGTGTATACGTATACTGAATCATCACATTATACACTTTAAATATCTTACAATTTTATTTGTCAGTTACACCTCAGTAAAACTGAAAAAGGAGAATACTTGAAGATAATATTAAACTGTTATTTGTTTACTCTTGATTTTATCAGTTTGTTTTTGTCTAGATGTTCCTATTTATTTATGTAATAGTTTTATTTAGACACAAATTTCATACCATACAAATCACTCATTTTAAATGATTTAAAGAGGGCTTCCCTGGTGGCGCAGTGGTTGGGAGTCCGCCTGCCGAAGCAGGGGACGCGGGTTCGTGCCCCGGTCCGGGAAGATCCCACATACCGCGGAGCGGCTGGGCCCGTGAGCCATGGCCGCTGAGCCTGCGCGTCCGGAGCCTGTGCTCCGCAACGGGAGAGACCACAGCGGTGAGAGGCCCGCATACCGCAAAAAATAATAATAATAATAATAAATGATTTAAAGAAGTTGTTCAAATGTGCAACCAGTTCTTTCCTACAGTAGGGACTGTAGGAAAGAAGGGTCCCTTGGGGCCAGCCAGAGATTCTTCCTGGACAGTTCCTCGGAAGTACTGGGCCCTCTGCTCATTTCTCCCATCTTCAGATTCCTTTTTCCCTCTCTTCATTTTCCAAAGCCTCCTGAAATCTTTTTTATAATTGAAGTAAAGTTCATAGAACATAACATTCATCATTTTAAAGTGTTCAGTTTAGTGGCTTTTAGTACATTCACAGTGTTGTGTGGGCATCACCACTAATTCCAGAATGCCTTCAATACTCAGCCAGGCAGTTTACAATTCTGCCTTGGTCTTCTCTTGCTGTTTGTGCAGAGTCAGCCATTGGTGAGAGTATATAGAGCCTTTTCAGGCCTTTTCTGAGCATGTGCCCAGCACTGGGCAGATATTTGGACTTCTAGATTCCTGGGAGTATGTGAGAGTTTTTCAAAGCTCTTATTCCCCAAAACATCTCGGTCTGCAGCCTTTTCCTCACAGGCTTTTGGTTTGGATATTGTTTGCACCGAACTACTGTTCCTTGCCCCAGCAGCTGTGGCTAATACATTTGCCTGTAAGTGTTTCCAGCCATCTGCTCCTCTCTACTCCCCACCCCCCGCTGAGTCCTCAGACCTGGAAGAGTTAGGGTAAATACAAGCAGGCCCTTTGAGGGGTAACCTCAAGGAGTCATCAGATATCTCAGAACAACTACAGCTCTGTGAGAATAAGTTCCTCTGGTACTAGGGACCCGTAGCAGGAGTGCAGTCTGTCTGCTGAGCTGAGGAGCCCGGGGATGGGGCCAGGGTGAGTTGAAGTGCCACAGAGCTCTCTTACAAAAATTCAGCAGTTGCTTTCTTGATTAAATATTTACCTGGTCACTGTAAACTTTTAATTAGTTTCCAGAGGTCCAATAAAATTGATTCTGACAGTTTTTGCCCATTTGTTTACTGCTTTCATGTAGGGATGGGCTTTTGGAGTTACCTACTCTGCCCTATATGCTGATGTCACTCTATAATCAGTCTTATTTTAAAACAAAGATAGTTTATTATTCATACATTTTTAGTTGCAAGTATAAGAAAACCCAATTTAAACTGACTTCAGGGCTTCCCTGGCTTAGTGGTTGAGAACCCACCTGCCAATGCAGGGGACATGGGTTCGAGCCCTGGTCCGGGGTGATCCCACATGCCGCGGAGCAACTAAGCCTGTGTGCCACAGCTACTGAAGACCGTGCGCCTAGATCCCGTGCTCCACAACAAAAGAAGCCACCACAATGAGAAGCCTGCGCACCGCAAAAAAGTAGTAGTCCCACCTCAACAAAGAGAAAGCCCGCACGCAGCAACGAAGACCCACACAGGCAATAATAAAAACAAATAAATAAATTTATTTTAAAAAATTAAAAAATAAAGTAAACTGACTTGAAAGAAAGTCGAATCTAGGAGTCTGAATGGTTTAATGTAAACTGGTTTCAGATTCATTAGCATTTGATGTCTCTGAGACTCCTTATGGGCAAGGCAGTGGCAATGATTTCAGCCTTACATCCTCTCAACTCCCAGATTGTCAAGCTGTTTTTCTCATAGTTCCTATAAAAGCCCTGAGGTTCGCTACCGTTGGATCTGGTTAAGGCATTTGGTTTTCTGAGAATCGATCACTATGGCTAAGAGAATGCTGTGCTCTGATTGACCTAGGCCTAAGTCAGTTGCTCCATCCTTATGGTCAAGAGTGAGGCCTACTTCCAATAGATGGACAGAGACTGGGAGAGGGTGAAAAGGGATGTAAAAAGGGGAGATCAGATGGGGTTGAGGAGGAGACAGAAAATAATAACACCTATGATAACCCTTGGGAGCTGTGCAGGATTCTTTCTAAAATGTTTCTAGTACTCTGCAGCTAAAAGAACTTAAGATCCTGTAGCCTTGATGCAAGATTGGAATAGTAAGAATTGTTTTTGTTTTAAATTGGGATCATCTTGTGGAGTTCTAGAAACCCAAGAATATACTGAGTTCTTGGAAACTTCTTTTAAAAGAATAAGATGATCCAGTTGGGTGAATGAACTTTGTTATTGCAGATGTGAAAAAAGTTTCTTTGAAGCTAGAGATCTTCGCCAGCACATGAACAAACATCTTGGTGTGAAGCCATTCCAGTGCCAATTTTGTGATAAGTGCTATAGTTGGAAGAAAGATTGGTATTCCCATGTGAAGTCTCACTCTGTCACTGAGCCTTACAGGTGGGTAAATCTGAGGAGGATCTGAACTTGAGATATAAATGTACTTGGATTAATTATTATGGATTCTGGTGCTTTGGAAAAAATAATTTGGGGTTTTCCTTTATTTTAGGTGTAATATATGTGGCAAAGAATTTTATGAAAAGGCACTGTTCAGAAGGCATGTAAAGAAAGCTACCCATGGAAAAAAAGGAAGAGCAAAGCAAAACCTGGAACGGGTGTGTGAACAATGTGGAAGAAAATTCACTCAGCTGAGAGAGTATAGGAGGCACATGAACAACCATGGAGGTAACTATACTTCATATAGTTTTATATATATATATAACTTTCAATAGAATAAAAGCCAGTCCAGTAGTGATTCTCCTTTTACCGTTCCTCTTGCCTATTATCTCGCTTTCCTTAATAAGAGATTAATCCCATGTTGTGGAAGATTTATTCAAGTGATAGAGGTGATCCTGAACCTGACTACCTAATTGTTGTGTAGATAGATAGATTCCTGTGTTAGTGAGCTTAATATTCTATATCAATATTTTTATGCTGGAATGGACTACTTGAAGTTTCTGGTTTTTTATCCTAGGATTATAGGATTCCTGTGAAGGCTAAAAGAGACTATTCACAGAACCTCAGGATTGTCTCTCAGTAACTTCTATCAATAGGAACATCTTTAGAGAGATTATATCCAGAATCTGCTTTATTCTAAGAGAAACCATTTGGTCCTAAATAAAAGATCGCCATAGTCAAGATAGAAACGTTTATGGGCTACTGTACTTAAAAGAAAAGCATTATTTATCAGGCAGCTGTAATATACTTGGACCTCACCACACATACACCTCTCTTCTTTTTTTTTAATAGGAGTTAAGCCATTTGAGTGCTTAACATGTGGAGTAGCTTGGGCTGATGCCCGATCTCTAAAACGCCACGTCAGAACACATACAGGTGAACGGCCCTATGTCTGTCCCGTATGTAGTGAAGCCTACATAGATGCTCGAACACTCCGTAAACATATGACTAAATTCCACAGAGATTATGTGCCTTGCAAAATTATGCTGGAAAAAGATACCCTTCAGTTTCATAACCAAGGAACTCAAGTGGAGCATGCTGTTAGCATCTTAACAGCAGATATGCAGGAACAAGAAAACAGCGGTCCTCAAGAACTTGAAACTGTGGTAGTGACAGGAGAGACTATGGAAGCTCTTGAAGCTGTTGCAGCTACTGAAGAATGTCCGTCAGTATCTACACTTTCTGACCAAAGTATTATGCAAGTGGTTAACTATGTGTTAGCACAACAGCAAGGACAGAAGCTGTCTGAAGTTGCAGAAGCTATTCAAACTGTTGAAGTAGAGGTGGCCCATATTTCAGAAACAGAGTGAATGTAGTAATGGAGATGAACAGAAGGGACATCTCACATAAACTGAACTCACAGAACATTTGTTTACAGTACTATGTGGCTGTCCGCCTAGAGCTTGTACATCAAGGCTCTGGGCTGTTTTGGTGGTGTTTTAACATTTCTAAATGGTTTGTCTGGCTAATGGGTTCTGTAGAAAAGTCCATTTACTGTAAAGAAATTGAAAACAAATCTATTTGATGGCAGTGGATTATCATGGTATACGTTTTATGAATTAATGTTTATAAAGAACTGTACTAAATAAATTAAAAACCGTACAGTTTCATTTGCATTTTGACATTATTATATACTTTGAGTTTAAAAGGCTCTACTAATTGGCTTTTCTTCTCTTTTCTTCTCAAAATATAGAGGTTCTGTGATTTCATTTGCCTTGTTTATGGTTTAAAAATTGTAATATAAAACGTTTTAGTGCGATGCATAAGTATATTACATTTTTTTAAATGCTTCAGATCTGTGATTCTTGACTTACTATTTATTTTAACCCCTTATAAAGTCAGGGATTCTTTATTTTAAAGCACTTAATGAGTTACATGTTGTAATCAAGTTTGCACAGTGTACTTAATCTATATGGGGAACCCCTAAATGAATAGCTGATTTTTTTAAATGCCATTAAAATGCATGAAATGCCTATTAAAGCCTTACTCTACTATCCTTCAAGGCAAGTAAATTGACCATGAGCAAAGAACATTGTTATTAAACTGTTGATGGGAAATTTCTCCTTGATTACATAAGATAATAAATGGGAAAAAAGTTAAGACTAGGTTTGGTATGTTTGCAGCTTTTGTATCATGTTTAATTGTTCAATTTTGTTGAAAAACTGCCGTTTAGAAGTAGGATAGCGATATAGACATCTACAGCAGTCCTGTGGATACCATGTAATTGTTAAGTAATTTCAGAATATTGAAAATTCTTCAGCCCTCATTACAGTATACTACTTAAAGAAATTGATTATGGCCCACCAAATTGTTAAAAGTAAATTCTTTTTAAAAGTTGCCTGAAAGTTAAATTAATTTGTGTGTTTGATTTTTAAATTCCCACCTCTTTAAGCTATCCAGTTTTCTCGTTTTTCAAAATAACCACAGGGAGATGCCACATTTCTCTCCTGGGAAACTACCACTCAAGCTGTAATTGTTAAAATTAAACTTCTAAGTATTAGAAGCTAATATAAATTGTAAAATTAAGATACAAGCAGATCACATGTAAATCATTCCTAAAGCACAAGAAAAGAATGTGCCTTGATGTACATATATTATTAAGATGCTTATTCCAGTTTACTTTAAAAGTGGCTTAAAAGATGAAGAATAAATGTGATGCCATGCATGCATTGTACCTGTATATGTAATATTTGCATTTGCAAATTTCCCATTGTTTTGATAACTGTGTGGCTGACTTTCAATTTTAAGTGGATTAACATACAGTCTGTAACTTTATAATGGCTGCTTGTTTATCATATCTTTCAGTTAGTGAAAATGTATTTCAACCTGACAGAAATTTGGAATTGTGTCTTTATGTTCCCTTGTCACCATTGTTATTAGATTTAGTTAATTGTATAAGACCCATTAATGTGTGTCATAAATATGTAAATAAAAGATGTTGGATCTTGTTTAAGGCATAAGCTTTGGAGTTGAGCTTCTCACTATTTTCAGCTCATAAATCAGTTGCTGTTATTTGATATGTTATTGAGTTAATCCGTTTTTTTGTTTGTTTGTTTGTTTGTTTTGCGGTACGTGGGCCTCTCACTGTTGTGGCCTCTCCCGTTGCGGAGCACAGGCTCTGGATGCGCAGGCTCAGCGGCCATGGCTCACGGGCCCAGCCGCTCCGCGGCATGTGGGATCTTCCCGGACCGGGTCACGAACCCGTGTCCCCTGCATCGGCAGGCGGACTCGCAACCACTGCGCCACCAGGGAAGTCCGAGTTAATCCGTTTTTAAAGGGGAGGAGAATTGAACACATTAAAAAATAACCATTGACAGAACACATAATATTATTAAGACTTATTACACTTAATCTTACCACAAAATTAAAAGTAGTACAATTAATTGCCATCTTTGGATAATTTAAATGTGTTTAGAGAATTACATAAATTACGTGTAGAAATAAGTGTTAAGGTTCCAAAAATTCAGTTTTATATTTCCATGGGGAAAATTCTCTATTTAGTTTATAATAATTCATTTTTAGAAGCACACATTGATTTGTTGTTGTCAGATGACTTCCTTCCTGATTAAATCTGCTTGTTACTGCTGTTTTATTAAAAGCCATTGGCTGTGATTCACTCTGTTATAAAGCAGAAACTAACACACCATTGTAAAGCAATTATACCCCAATAAAGATGTTAAAAAAAAAAAAAAAGCCATTGGCTGTTTACATAATTTCACAAGGTTACCTAAACTGATAAATTTAGAGTTAATCCAGACCTTCAGTGTCTTGTCTTTTTTTAAAAAACAGCTTTGATATAAACTGCATGATGCTTCCCACTCATAATTGAATCAGGAAATTTAAACCTATACTCTTCATGGAGGTTCCTAAACAGGGGTTTTACATCTGTTTGGAAAATAAACAAAAAAAGTCTTTGTCTCCCCTGATCTTATAAATTTATCAGTTATAGTTTGTAAAGGCTTAGAGCAAAGATGCAAAGATAACTTGTTTAATTATTTTAAATATACCAGTCTTATAGTCTATTATCTGAAGTTTTGAAGTTGAATACTGCTGTTTATTGGATTTCTCCAGAGTTTTATAAATGTTAGAGTATAAGCGCATCTCCAGTAGGGCCTTATCTTTGGAATCCTGTGCCACCTGCCTACGTTGAAAAAGGGTCCTCCCAGATCAGTTTTATGTTTGCTTTTGTTAGATTGTTCCAAGAGTATCAATGGCTAGGTACTATTTTCATATTAATTTCTCAAACTCTGGTTTCCTAGACCAGCAACTAAATTTGAACTTTAGACCAGTGTGGGAACAAGGTCATTGTTCTAAATCTTAAAGGGAGGCTGTTTGCCCACCTCATGCCCAGTCTGAGACAAATATCTTTGCCTGGGTTGGTGAATGGAGTTTTTTTCTGGCTTGTTCTTTCACTGAAGGTGTAGCTCTTCAGTGGTTCCAACCCAGCTTTGTGTGGAATTCTTAGTTCCAATCTCTGTGGACCTAAATCCTGATCTCTTGTCACCTTTGGGGTTTCAAAAGCCAGCGCCTTTGAAACTGGCAGTCCCATCTATCACAAGGCTACTACAGTTTCAACTCAGTTTCCTCTGATTTGGGGACCCTAGGACATTCCGTTTCTTAAAGTCTTAGTACTACGATTTTCTTTTTTTTAGTTTTTATTTATTTGGCTGCGCCAGGTCTTGGTTGCAGCCTGCGGGCTCTTAGTTGCAGCATGCATGCAGGATCTAGTTCCCTGACCAGGGATTGAACCCAGGCCCCCTGCATTGGGAGCGTGGAGTCTTAACCACTGGACCACCAGGGAAGTTCCACTATGATTTCAAAGGAGTTTGTTTTAGCAGAGATGTATAGGTATTTTAGTCTTTTCCAAATCCTGGAAAACAAATAGTGTTGTTTCTTTAAATATTTTTCTCCTCTGGTTACTTCTTTATTTCTAAGAGAAGGTTTTATTTCTACCCTCAATACCTGTCTCATTCTCTCCTTTTTCTCCATATTCCTGATAACCTGGGAGTTGCTCAACTTCATCTTTAACTTTTTTTAATTGAATTATCTATTGAATTCATTTTAAATTTTATATTTCTTATACTAGCATTTCCACTTAGTTCTTTGTAGGTGCTTATTCCTCCTTCTCTTTTCCATTCTTCTTTCCTTATCTTGTTGATTGGATTTATTGTGCTCATTTGAATTCTTACTGTGTTCTGTGTGCTCTACAAAAAACATTACTTTCTGTGAATATACCACAACTTTACCTTTCTACCACTGATAGATGTTTGGGTTATTTTCAGTTTGGCGTTATGAAGAATGCTGCAAGGCCCATTTTTATCCTCTTGGTATATATACAAACATGCATTTCTGTTGCGTACATAACTAAGAGTAGAATTGGAGTCATTTGGTTTTGTGGTTGTTCAACTTAAGCAGATAATACCAAAATATTTTCCGAAGAGACTGTGCCATTTTACACTCAGTGCTGGTTGCTTCACATGCTTGCCAAGTACTGTTGGTCTTATTACTTAGTGCTCTGCAAGAACTTCTAGTACAATATTAAATAGCTGTTGTGTTTGCCATCTTTGTCTTTTTCCAGTCTCAGAGTGAAAATCTGAGATTCACATGGTGGGCTAGATGGCTTCATGATGGGGGCTTACTGCCAGAAAAAAAACAACCATGTGATTAGAGGGCCCCACCCGCTGACCTCCAAGGGAGGGGAGAGAAGCTGAAGACTGAGTTCACTCACTATGGCCATTAATTCATTAATTTAACCAATTATGTACTGTATATAATGCAACCTCAACAAAAACTTGAAGAGGCTCAGAGAGCTTCCTGGTTGGTGAGCATATTGCTGTACTGGGTGGGTGGCACACTCCAACTCCACAGGAACAGAAGCTCCAGCACCCCTCCCTCCCAGACCTTGCCCTATGGGTCTCTTCCACTTGGCTATCCCTGAGTTGTATCCTTTATAATAAAATTGTAACTATAGCGCTTTAAGTGAGCTCTGTGAGTTGTTCTAGTGAATTATCAAAGGCGGGGGGCTCCATAGAAGCCTCTAAATTTATAGTTGGCCAGGCAGAATTGCAGATGGTTTGGGGATATCCAAGACCTGCTGCTAGCATCTGAAGTGGGTGCAGTCTTGTGGAATTGAGGCCTTAACTCATGGGGTATGTGCTAACTCTGGGTAGTAATATCAGAATTGAATTGTAGGACACCCAGCTGTCAGAGAATTGGTGCTGAAACATTCCATCCACGTAGAGGATTGGTCTGAATCGGAGTGTCAGAGATCAAGTGGGGTTAGAGGGGGTGATGTCCATGTGGGAGGTTAAGGCAACCTAGGCAATGGGAGATTGGTTATATAGA